TCAGCAGGTGTAGAGACACCCGAGGTGCTAACTGTTATGTGCACGTGTTTCAGGAGTCTGTTGTCAATACTTTACTCTTTAGCACCTTTGTTCTGTAACAGTTGGGGGCACGACACCCGGGCAGGTGTTGAGCATAACACCTGGGCAGGTGTTGGGCATAACACCCAGGCAATAGTAGGGATGACACGCCAGCGTCCCTTTTTTTCAGGAAAAAAGGGAAGCTGGAGTGTCAGGGGTTCTAGGTAAACTCTACGGTCAATTTTTGTTTTTTTCCAAAATCGTGTATTTTTCAAAGACCAATTTCAGATTAAGCAATCTTAGAAGTTTGGTAAGAGTTCTTATTAGGAAAATAATTTCCAAGATTTTAGAAGTTTGCTAAGGTTTCTTATGAGGAAAATAATTTCCGAGATTTTAAAAGTTAGTTAAGAGTTCTTATGGGGAAAATAATTTCAAGATATCATAGAAGTTTTGTTAAGGAAAAGAGTAAGTTTCAGTTTTATATGCATTTATGGCTGTTTGGATCAATTTTCTTCGGAGTCCATTTAAGACCGAAAATTAGTCAAGACCAGTTTAAGCTCAAATTTCATCGGAGTCCAGTTTATACCCAAAAATAATCAGAGTCCAGTTGTTAACGTAAATTATTCAGATATTACTCCACTTTGTAAGCAAAATTTGTCAGAATCCAGTAATAGATCCAAATTAACAAGAGTCCATTTTATTCCCCAAAATTACCAGAGTTCGGTAAAGACCAAAAATTAGCCAGAGTCCAGTGTGTTCCCGAAAATATTCAGTCCTGTAATCTACGAAAATTAGTCAGTCCAATTCATTACCGAAAATTAGGCAGAGTCCATAGAAGACCAAATTTTAACAGAGTCCCCTAAAGAACGAAAAATAGTCAGAGTTCACTTTTAAACTAAAATAATTCAGAGTTTACTGACACCAGCATTCTTAAAGAGTTCTTATGGAGGAAATTCAAATATTATCAGAGTCCAATTGAGACCCAAATTATGACATACTATTTCCAGACCAAAATTTGTTAGAGACTGCATTTCGCTACAAACAGCCCAATGCTAGCCCATTTCTAAACAGTCATTTTTCAGACGTAATAAATCAAATTCAGTCAGTAAGCAAGTTCTAGTTCCTGTCCCTGCCTTAGTTTCCTGTCTTATATTCAATACTAACAGTCCAATCCCCCTGAAATTTTAGTCATTTTTCAGATGTAGTAAATCAAATCAATTCAGTAAGCAAGTTCTAGCTCTTGTCCCTGCCTTAGTTTCCTGTCTTATATTCACTAGTAACAGTCTAATCCCCTGAAATTTAAACAGATATTTTTCAGACATAGTAAATCAAATCAATTCAGTAAGCAAGCTCCAGCTCCTGTCCTCAGCCTTAGTTTATCCCCGTAACTTCTTTACTAACAGACTAATTTCCCTAAAATTTATCCCCACGGTATTTTAGACATAGTACAATACGCCAATTTAGTTACTGAGCTCCAGCTTTTGTCCCCCTCCCTATTTCCCTCTCGTATCTTTGTTATTGACCAATCAGTTTTCCTGAAATTTAAACCCGCAAAACTTCTAACTGAGTAAGTAAAGATATTACATTCCAGCTCTTGTCATCCGCCTCAGCTCTATTTCATATCTTCGTTAATAACTCATCAATTCTCCTGAAATCTAAACACCACTGTATTTCTGACCTAGTAAATAAGAACCAAGTAATTACCGAGCTCCAGCTCATGTCCCCCACCTTATTTCGCTCCTTTAAATTCACTCCTACCAGTCCAAATCCCCAGAGATTTAAACCCCCAACTACATTTTTAGACCCCCCCCCCCCCCCTGTAATTAAATCAAAAGCAAATTACCGAGTTCCAACTCATGTTCTCCACCTTAGTTCAATGTTCATCAAAATTATTTCAGATCAAGTTCCTCTCCAGTCTATCAAAGTAAACATCATATCCTTTAATACCCTTTTTGTACTTAGCTATGTAACTAATCACCAACGTACTAATATTCAAACGGTTACATATTACCTACTTTCTTTACCCTTTGTTTACCCAAGTAAGCAATAATCACACGGTTAAAAATAACACCTTACCCTTTCCCTCCCTTACCTTCTCAACCCTTACCCAACTTACCTTACCCCTTACCTTCCCCAACGCCCTTTCACTCTTCATTTCGCCCTCACCCCCTACTCCCCCTTACCATCTCATCCCTTACCTCCCCTTCATCTCTCCCATTTCCCAACTTATCCAGACCTTCAATAATCCTACTGTATTTGTATATTTTCTCTATATTCACTGTTCTTCGCATTTTCTTCTATGTTTTCTGTATTCACTCCATGTTCTGCAAATGTTCACAGCATGTTCAGGTAATATTTTTCACCAGTTTTCTTCATTTTTCTATGTTTTTTTAATTTTCCCCGTATGCTCACTGTATTCTTTTATCATGTTTTCATGTTCATCTTATGTTCTCTGTACAACTTTTATACTCATTATTCATGTTCTCAGTGTTCTTAGCATGTTTCTTCACATATTCAGTGTTCATTCTTTATACCTCTATGCTCCTTATCATGTTCTCTGTAAGTTCATATTCCTTGCATGTTCACTGTGTTCATCACCTTCACTTACATGTTTTCTTTGTTCTTTTGTCATGTTCCCCACATGTTCTCTGTGTTCACCGTATTCTCTTACATATTCTGAAAATCAAATGTACCAAGACATTCTTTTCTTAACGTTATTTAACTAAAATCATTCGCAAATCAACTAAAAACATAGTCATATTCTCAACTAAACTTAGTTAGGGAAAATGTAGAAAATGTAGTTGGGGGGTTAAATCTCTGGGGATTTGGACTGATAGTAGTGAATTTAAAGGAGCGAACTAAGGTGGGGGACATGAGCTGGAGCTCGATAATTATTTGGTTCTTATTTACTATGTCTGAAATACAGTGGGTTTAGATTTCAGGAGAATTGATGGGTTCTTAACGAAGATATGAGATAGAGCCGAGGCGGATGACAAGAGCTGGAGCTCGGTAAATGTGATATCTTTACTTACTCAGCTAGAAGTTTTGCGGGTTTAAATTTCAGGAAAACTGATTGGTCAATAACAAAGATACGAGAGGGAAATAGGGAGGGGGACAAAAGCTGGAGCTCAGTAACTAAATTGGCGTATTGTACTATGTCTAAAATACCGTGGGGATAAATTTTAGGGAAATTAGTCTGTTAGTAAAGAAGTTACAGAAATAAACTTAGGCTGAGGACATGACCTGGAGCTTGCTTACTGAATTGATTTGATTTACTACGTCTGAAAAAGGATTGTTTAAAATTTCCGGGGGATTGGACTGTTAGTATTGAATATAAGACAGGAAACTAAGGCAGGGACAGGAACTAGAACTTGCTTACTGACTGAATTTGATTTACTACGTCTGAAAAATGACTGTTTAGAAATGGGCTAACATTGGGCTGTTTGTAGTGAAATGCAGTCTCTAACAAATTTTGGTCTGGAAATGGTCTCTGTCATATTTTTGGGTCTCAATTGGACTCTGATAATATTTGAATTTCCTCCATAAGATCTCTTTAAGAATGCTGGTGTCAGTAAACTCTGAATTATTTTAGTTTAAAAGTGATCTTTGATCATTTTTCAGTCTTTAGGGGACTAATTTTCGATAATGAATTAGACTGACTAATTTTCTTAGATTACAGGACTGAATATTTTCGGGAACAAACTGGACTCTGGCTAATTTATGTTCATTACCAAACTCTGGGGATTTTTGGGAATAAAATGGACTCTGTTAATTTGGATCTTTAACTGGACTCTGACGAATTTTGCTTACACAGTGGACTCTGAATAATTTTGGTTAACAACCGGACTCTGAATATTTTCAGGTACAAAGTGGACTCTGACGAATTTTCGGTATAAACTGGACTCTGTTAATTTTTCAGGCTTAAAATGAACTGACGAGTTTCTGTCTACAACCGGACTTTGATGAATTTTCGGCATGAACTGGTCTCCGACTGATTTTCTGTCATTAATTGGACTCTGATTATTTTTGGGTATAAACTGGACTCTGATGAAGTTTCAGGCCTAAACTGGACTATGATGAAATTTGAGCTTAAACTGGTCTCTGACCAGTTTTCGGTCTTAAATTGACTCTGAAGAGAATTGGTCCACAAATGGTCTCTGAATAATATTGCCGTGAAACAGCCGTAAATGCATATAAACCTAAACCTTACTGTTTTCCTTAACAAAACTTCTATGATCTCTGAAATTATTTTCCCTATAAGAACTCTTAGCAAACTTCTAAAATCCCGGAAACTATTTCCCCATAAGAAACCTTAACAAACTTCTAAAATCTTGAAAATCATTTTCCCCATAAGAAACGTTAACAAACTTCTAAGATTGCTTAATCTGAAATTGGTCTTTGAAAAATACGTGATTTTGAAAAAAAAACGAAAATTGACCGTAGAGTTTACCTAGAACCCCTGACACTCTAGCGTCCTCTTTGCCTGGTAAAAAAGGACGCTGGCGTGTCATCCCTACTACTCCAGGCAGGTGTTGGGCATAACACCCGGGCAGATGTTGGGCACGGCCCCCGGGCAGGTGTTGGGTACAACACCCGGGCAGATGTTGGGCACGGCCCCCGGGCAGGTGTTGGGTACAACACCCGGGCAGATGTTGGGCACGGCCCCCGGGCAGGTGTTGGGTACAACACCCGGGCAGGTGTCGGGCACAACACCCGGGCAGGTGTTGGGCACAACACTCAAAAATTACAAACACAACACCCCGGACTTTTGAGTTGAGAAATAATTAAAACATTATTTGCTTTTTAAAGTTTTACACACAAAAAATGTGGGATTAAAAAAAAAAGACAAAAAAGAGAGATAGGTAAATGCTGACAAATAATTCTGAGTAATGCCTTTAGCCAATAAATGTAGATATGAACTGTAACATTTCGGTCGTCAAGAAACTAATTCTGTATTTTCTCCACTGCTCGTGTGGCCGCAGGTGCGGGAGGAGCTGGCGTCGGAGAAGCCGTCCGAGGAGATCATCCCCATCCACGACATCGACACCCGCTGGTCGTGTAGGTACAGATTTGCCAGCCTCGACGACGCCCGCACCTGACCTGTCGTGTCTGTGTCATCTCCTGCGCCTTCTTACTAAGAAACACGACCTCTTCCGACAGCAGGGTTCCTGACGTGCCTCTGGTGTCTCCTTAGTTAAGGCACAGGACCTACACAAGGCTCACCTTGGGGAGTAAATCCATCCCCACTGTCGAAGATAGGTAAACTCGTCAGGTTTACACGTGAATTGGTTGATATTCCCGGATAACCAGCGAGGAAGATATTGGTCCTGAGCCTAGGAAGAGCCTTGCTCCTCTCACGGTGTACTCGACGGAGACAAAGATCGACTAACACCATCAATATCATCTGAGTCGTCGAGACAAAGTATAGATATGACTCACAAACCAGTTTTGATGGTGACCCAGTTTGTCATTTTTCACAAGTGTGTATCACTTGATCGGCTCCTGATGACCCACTTCACTTGGCCTCCTTTAACGATCATTTTACACAATTGTAGCAAAATCTATTATAGAGAAGCATCACATAAACTGTCATAAGTTACAGGTACAGGTTCTTATTTAGCTGACTAACTTAGACGAAAATTTTGGCCTCGTATCCAACTTGAATGATAACAAAGAAAATCACCCTCCCTGTCATGCTAGTTAGTGATCCAACGTTGCAATACATTAAGATATACTTAATTATCACATAATTATCCTCAGACTCCCGGAGTTAAGGAAGATTAGTGAGGATTCTATGGGAATATTAACTGTTAATGGAACAATGAGTTTTTTTTTATTATTGGTATATATAAATTAATATTCCCTTTTCTCATTATTCTCTCCCTATAAACGCCAAAGATATACATATATATACCTTCGTCAAGTAGGACACAAGAGTTGGAGTACCAGGCACGATCATGGCGTAGTTTATAGTAACGAGAGCGGGAGTAGTGACCACGAGAGCGGGAGTAGTGACCACGAGAGCGGGAGTAGTGACCACGAGAGCGTGTGTAGTGACCAGGAGAGCGTGTGTAGTGACCACGAGAGCGGGTGTAGTGACCACGAGAGCGGGTGTAGTGACCACGAGAGCGGGTGTAGTGACCACAAGAGCGTGTGTAGTGACCAGGAGAGCGTGTGTAGTGACCACGAGAGCGTGTGTAGTGACCAGGAGAGCGTGTGTAGTGACCACGAGAGCGTGTGTAGTGACCACGAGAGCGGGAGTAGTGACCACGAGAGTGTGTGTAGTGACCACGAGAGTGTGTGTAGTGACCACGAGAGTTTGTGTAGTGACCACGAGAATGTGTGTAGTGACCACGAGAGTGTGTGTAGTGACCACGAAAATGTGTGTAGTGACCACGAGAGCGTGTGTAGTGACCACGAGAATGTGTGTAGTGACCACGAGAGTTTGTGTAGTGACCACGAGAATGTGTGTAGTGACCACGAGAGTGTGTGTAGTGACCACGAGAATGTGTGTAGTGACCACGAGAGTGTGTGTAGTGACCACGAGAATGTGTGTAGTGACCACGAGAGTGTGTGTAGTGACCACGAGAGCGGGAGTAGTGACCACGAGAGCGGGTGTAGTGACCACGAGAGCGTGTGTAGTGACCACGAGAGCGTGTGTAATGACCACGAGAGCGTGTGTAGTGACTACGAGAGCGGGAGTAGTGACCACGAGTGTGTAGTGACTACGAGAGCGGGAGTAGTGACCACGAGAGCGTGTGTAGTGACCACGAGAGCGTGTGTAGTGACCACGAGAGCGTGTGTAGTGACCACGAGAGCGGGTGTAGTGACCACGAGAGCGTGTGTAGTGACCACGAGAGCGGGAGTAGTGACCACGAGAGTGTGTGTAGTGACTACGAGAGCGGGAGTAGTGACCACGAGAGTGTGTGTAGTGACCACGAGAGCGGGAGTAGTGACCACGAGAGTGTGTGTAGTGACCACGAGAGCGGGTGTAGTGACCACGAGAGCGGGTGTAGTGACCACGAGAGCGGGTGTAGTGACCACGAGAGCGGGTGTAGTGACCACGAGAGTTTGTGTAGTGACCACGAGAACGGGTGTAGTGACCACGAGAGCGGGTGTAGTGACCACGAGAGTGTGTGTAGTGACCACGAGAGCGTATGTAGTGACCACGAGAGCGTGTGTAGTGACCACGAGAGCGGGTGTAGTGACCACGAGAGCGGGTGTAGTGACCACGAGAGCGGGTGTAGTGACCACGAGAGCGGGTGTAGTGACCTCGAGAGCGGGTGTAGTGACCACGAGAGCGGGTGTAGTGACCACGAGAACGGGTGTAGTGACCACGAGAGCGGGTGTAGTGACCACGAGAGCGGATGTAGTGACCACGAGAGCGGGTGTAGTGACCACGAGAGCGGGTGTAGTGACCACGAGAGCGGGTGTAGTGACCACGAGAGCGGGTGTAGTGACCACGAGAGCGGGTGTAGTGACCACGAGAGCGGGTGTAGTGACCACGAGAGTGTGTGTAGTGACCACGAGAGTGTATGTAGTGACCACGAGAGCGGGAGTAGTGACCACGAGAGCGGGTGTAGTGACCACGAGAGCGGGTGTAGTGACCACGAGAGCGGGTGTAGTGACCACGAGAGCGGGAGTAGTGACCACGAGAGCGGGTGTAGTGACCACGAGAGCGGGTGTAGTGACCACGAAAGCGGGTGTAGTGACCACGAGAGTGTGTGTAGTGACCACGAGAGTGTGTGTAGTGACCACGAGAGCGGGAGTAGTGACCACGAGAGCGGGTGTAGTGACCACGAGAGCGGGTGTAGTGACCACGAGAGCGGGTGTAGTGACCACGAGAGCGGGTGTAGTGACCACGAGAGCGGGTGTAGTGACCACGAGAGCGGGTGTAGTGACCACGAGAGCGGGTGTAGTGAGGCAACACTTTAGTGACACGACACAGCCTCACTTGCCCATCGTCGATGTCTCTCAATACAACACCCATATAGTGTCAATACAACACCCATATAGTGTCAATACAACACCCATATAGAGTCAATACAACACCCATATAGTGTCAATACAACACCCATATAGTGTCAATACAACACCCATATAGTGTCAATACAACACCCATATAGTGTCAATACAACACCCATATAGTGTCAATACAACACCCATATAGTGTCAATACAACACCCATATAGTGTCAATACAACACCCATATAGTGTCAATACAACACCCATATAGTGTCAATACAACACCCATATAGTGTCAATACAGCACTCATATAGTGTCAATACAGCACCCATATAGTGTCAATACAACACCCATATAGTGTCAATACAACACCCATATAGTGTCAATACAGCACTCATATAGTGTCAATACAACACCCATATAGTGTCAATACAACACCCATATAGTGTCAATACAACACTCATATAGTGTCAATACAACACCCATATAGTGTCAATACAGCACTCATATAGTGTCAATACAACACCCATATAGTGTCAATACAACACCCATATAGTGTCAATACAACACCCATATAGTGTCAATACAACACCCATATAGTGTCAATACAACACTCATATAGTGTCAATACAACACCCATATAGTGTCAATACAGCACTCATATAGTCTCAATACAAAACCCAAATAGTGTTAATACTAAGTAATTGTAAGTAATAGAAAGATACGTCTCCAATTTTATTATTATCTGACAATAGTATTTATAACTTATTTGTACATTACAATATATATACTATTAGGCCCAATATTACCATACAGATACTACTAGGCCCAACATTACCATACAGATACTACTAGGCCCAACATTACCATACAGATACTACTAGGCCCAACATAACCATACAGATACTACTAGGCCCAACATTACCATACAGATACTACTAGGCCCAACATAACCATACAGATACTACTAGGCCCAACATAACCATACAGATACTACTAGGCCCAACATAACCATACAGATACTACTAGGCCCAACATTACTATACAGATACTACTAGGCCCAACATTACCATACAGATACTACTAGGCCTAACATTACCATGAAGATAATATTTGGTCCAACATTACCATGAAGATAATATTAGGTCCAACATTACCATGAAGATAATATTAGGTCCAATATTACCATGAAGATAATATTAGGTCCAACATTACCACAGAGATACTACTAATGAGAAGGAAAATTATGAGAAGGAAAATTATGAGAAGGAAAATTATGAGAAGGATTAAGACAAAGGAGGACTGCTTGAGGCTTCAAGAAGACCTGGACAAGCTGCAGGAATGGTCGAACAAATGGTTGTTAGACTTTAGCCCAAGCATATGCAATGTAATGAAGAAAGGTGTAGGGAGCAAGAGACCAGATACAAGGTACCAGTTGGGAGATGAAATCCTTCAAGTGTCTGAGAGAGAGAAAGACCTGGAGGTTGATATCACGCCAGACGAGTCCCCTGAAACTCATTTCAAGAGGATAACATCAGCGGCATATACCAGGTTGGCGAACATTAAAACGGTCTTTAGAAACTTGTGTAAGGAATCTTTCAGATCATTGTATACCAGCTATGTCAGACCAATCCTGTAGTATGCGGCTCCAGCATGGAGTCTATATCTAGTCAAGCATAAGACTAAAATGGAAAAGGTTCAAAGGTTTGCCTTCAGGCCAGACTGAAGAGCATGAGCTACGAGGAGAGACTACGGGAATTAAACCTCACGTCACTGGAAGACAGAAGAGTTAGAAGGGATATGATCACCACATACAAGATTCTCAATGGAATTGATAAGGTAGATAAAGACAGGCTATTTACCACAAGGGGCACACACACTAGGGGGACACAGGTGGAAACTGAGTGCCCAAATGACGTTTGGCAGAACAGAGACGTTAGAAAGAATTTTTTCAGTGTCAGAGTAGTAGACAAATGGAATACATTAAGAAGTGATGTAGTGGAGGCTGACTCCATACACAGCTTCAAGTGTGGATATGATAGAGCCCAGTAGGCTCAGTAAAATGTACATTAGTTGATTGACAGTTGAGAGGCGTGACCAAAGAGCCAGAGATCAACCCCCGCAAGCACAACTAAGTAAGTACAACCAGGTAAGTACTACTAGGTCCAACATTACCATAAAGATACTACTAGGCCCAACCTTACCATATAGATACAACTAGGTCCAACATGTCCATAAAGATAATACTAGGCTCAGCATTACCATTAAGATATTACTAGGTAAAACATTCCCTTAAAGATACTACTGGGACCAACATTACTATAACGATACAACGAGACCCAACATTATCATGATGATACAACTAGGCCCAACATTACCGTAAAGATATTTCTAGGTCCAAAATTACCATAAAGATACGAAAAGGTTCAACATATCCATAAAGATACTACTAGGCCCAACATTACCATAAGATACAACTATGCTCAACATTACCATAAAGATACAACTAGGCTCAACATTACTATTAAGATACTACTAGGTTCAACATTATCATATAGATACTACTAGGCTCAACATTACCATAAAGATACTACTAGGCCAAACATTACCATACAGATACTACTAGGCTCAACATTACCATAAAGATACTACTAGGCTCAACATTACCATAAAGATACTACTAGGCTCAACATTACCATTAAGATACTACTAGGCCAAACATTACCATACAGATACTACTAGGCTCAACATTACCATTAAGATACTACTAGGCCCAACATTACTATAATGATACAACTAGGCGCAATATTACCATATAGATATTACTAGGCCCAATATTTTCATGAAGATGCAACTAGGCCCCATATTACCATGAAGATACTTCTAGGTCTAACATTACTACAAAAATACTACTAGGCCCAATATTTCCGTAAAGATGCAACTAGGCCCCATATTACCATGAAGATACTACTAGGTCTAACATTACCGTAAAGATACTACTAGGCCCAAATATACCATAATGATACAACTAGGCCCAATACCACCATATAGATAATACCACTGTTGCTCACCCGACACGAGCGCGGTCAACTTAGAGGTCATGGACCCTACGGGCAGGCGAGCGTGCGGGCAAGCGCGCGGTGACGCCTAAATGTGTATACTCGTTTCAGCTTTCTCACCTCAATTCTCGTGCTACGTCGTTTGTTTTGGTGTCATTGTGTTTGCAATTAAATTCCCTACAGTTGTGCATGAATATAATGTCCAGAAACCTAGCGTGACTCCCAACAGCAAAGCCTAAATTCGGCAAAAGTTACCCGTGAGCGCACAAAATCAGTAAAATGTGTATACTCGTTCCACTTTTCGCACCTTTCTTCTCGTGCTACGTCGGTCCTATCACTTGGGCTGGACGGTAGAACGACGGTCTCGCTTCATGCAGGTCGGCGTTCAATCCCCGACCATCCAAGTGGTTGGAGGCCATTCTTTTCCCCATTTCGTTCCATCCCAAATCCTTATCCTAACCCTTCCAAGTGCTATATAGTCGTAATGGCTTGGCGCTTTCCCCTGATAATTCATTCATTCATTCGTGCTACGTCGCTCGTTTTGGTATCATTGTGTTCGCAATTAAATTCCCTACAGATGTGTATAAATATAATGTACAAAAGCCTGGAGTGGCTTCCCGCAGAAAAGCCTAAAGTTACCCGTGAACGAGCACCAATATGTACGCTGCAACCTAATGTGTATACTCGTTCAGTTTGATAACATCAATTTTCGTGTTACGTCTTTCATTTTGGTATCAAATGGTTCGCAATAAAAGGGCGCGCATTATAAAACTAGTCCCATAATAATAGAGTAATAACTGTAATTTTAACAAATATCTTAATTCTGGAAGCTCATCATCACAAAATTATTTATATCTTTCCAGTGTTCTGACATATTTTTATGTTACATCTTTCATTTTGGTATCAAATTGTTCGCAACGTAAAGGCGCGCATTTTAAAACTAGTCCCAGCATAATAGGACAATAAATAGAATTTTACCAAATATTTTAATATTTTGACCAAAAACCTTTTTATAATCTTTCAAGTGTTCGGACATCAAGTTTCATGTTATATCTCTCATATTGGTATTAAGTTGTGCACATTCTAAAGGAGCTTATTGTGATACTGTCTCGAGGTCGATCGGATAAAAAATGAATTTTATACAAATATTTTTGTAGTGGACGCAAGTCAGGGCCAAAGTTTGCGATACTGCTACTAGGCCCAACATTACCATACAGATACTACTAGGCCCAACATTACCATACAGATAGTACTAGGCCCAACATTACCATACAGATAGTACTAGGCCCAACATTACCATACAGATACTACTAGGCCCAACATTACCATACAGATACTACTAGGCCCAACATTACCATACAGATACTACTAGGCCCAACATTACCACACAGATAGTACTAGGCCCAACATTACCATACAGATACTACTAGGCCCAATATTACCATACAGACACTACTAGGCCCAACATTACCATACAGATACTACTAGGCCCAACATTACCATACAGATACTACTAGGCCCAACATTACCATACAGATACTACTAGGCCCAACATTACCATACAGATACTACTAGGCCCAACATTACCATAAAGATACAACTAGGCAGAACATTACAATAAAGATACTACTACGTCCAACATTACCATAAAGATACTACCAGGTCCAACATTACCATATAGACACTACTAGGCCCAATATTATTATAAAAGTACTATTAGGTTCAACATTACCATAAAGATTCTACTAGGCCCGACATTCCCATAGAGATCATACTTGGTCCAACATTACCATCAATATACAACTCGGCCAAACATTACCATAAAGATACTACTAGAACCACAACTACCATAAAGATATTACTAGGCCCAGCATTACTATGAAGATTCTAATATGTCCAACATTACCATT